GAAAGCACTGTACCACTGAGCCACACCTCTAGTTCATATTTTCTTTTGAGATAGGGGCTTGCTAAGTTGCCTAGGCTAGCTTCTATTTATTTATTTATTTTTTGGTACTGGGGATTGAACGTGGGACCTCAGGCTTGCGAGGCAGGCAGCGGCACCACTGAGCTAAATCACCGGCCCATGCTAGCCCCAATTTAGAATCCTCCTGCCTCACCCTTCCAAACACTGTAGCTAGGATTATAGGCATGTGCCCCTGTTCCCAATTTGACTTTTGTTTAATCTTAACTTTTTAAACTTTCATGCTATCTGGTTATGTTTTAACATGTACTTTCTGAATATAATCCTTTCTGCAGCAAAAGAGAGGTATAATTAACATTATCTTTTATTACTTTAACATGCTGCTAACCCAGTCTGATGGATCAAAGTAGACATTGTGTAATTTATAACTTTGCCTATGTTTATCCTGTGTGATATGCTTTTCTGTTTCCTTCTGCCTCTTTATTCCTATTGTTTTCTTTTAAGACGTGTCTGAAGCATTCCACCATTGAACACAATTTGGGAACAGACTATGAAACTCTTCAGTATATCACATAAAAGCACATAATGTATCATCTTGAAACAGTTGCATTTGATCATCCTTAAATGATTTGTAGTCTCAAATTATCTCAGATTGAGATTCTGATCATTGCTATCCTTTACTCTGTATTATTGACCAGTGAAATTTCTATATGTGTTATAGTTCTCAGACAATTCAGTCTAGATAGAACTTGAGAAACTTCTTCTCATTTGGGATTTCCACTTTTTGATTGGCCAGAAGCTAGTGAATTTGGATGTTATGATGCACACCTGTAATCCCTGTAATTCTGGGAAGTTAAGCCAGGATGATTGCAAGTTCAAGCCCAGCCTGGGCAATTTAGCAACTTAGGGGGACCCTGTCTCAGAATAAAAAAAATGAGCTTGGGATATAGCTCGGTGGGAAGGCCCTGGGTTCAATCCCCAGTATTGTGAGGGGGAAAAAAACTCAAGTATGGTAACTTTCTTCATTTAACTCTTACAGGTAATTTTACTAAGTGCACTCCTACTTGATTTTTTTTTTTTGAGGGGGAGTGGTAGTGATACCAGGGGTTGAACTCAGGGCCTTCACACTAAGCTGTATTCCCAGTCTTTTTTTATTTTTTATTTTGAGACAGAGTCTCACTAAATTGCCCAAATGGGGCTCAAATTTGCAGTCTTCTCACTTCAGCCAGCCTCCTAGAGTGCTGGGATTACAAGTATGTACCATCATGTCTGGATCTTTTCTTAATTTAGGAGAAAAAATTTTTCTTAAAAATTATGTCTTAAATTGCTACCAATCAGAAGGATGCAAAGTAAAATATGATTTCATTTTTGATTTTCAAGTTGGTAAAGATTTTTGCTAGGGATTATTATTAAAAAGATTGTACATTAATACATTATTAAAAAGAATGGGATTAAACTTCTATGGAGGATGTTTTCCTTTTAAAAGCCAGAGGCCTAAGTGAATCATGTCATTAACCAGTATTCAACTTGTAAGAAATAAGACTTATGTATTATTCATGTTGGATATATTTTTTTAATGTGAAGAAATTGGAACAGCTTTAAGCATCCAACAGTAAGGCATTATCTTAATAAAATTTAGCCTACCCATGTAATAGCATACTGTATTACTTAAAAGTACTTTGAGTTATTTTTTGGTTAAGACAGTGACTCACTAGTTCAGGCTGGCCTTGAACTCTCATTATACTCAGGTCACCTTAAAAGTTACATTTTGTAGGAATATTTAATGATTTTATAGAGCAGTTACAAAAGAGTGTTAAATAGAAAAGCAGATATGAAACACTTTGTAGAGCTGAGTGTGTAGATTAGTGATAGAGTGTTTGTTTGCCTGGCATGGGCAAGGCTCTGAGTTTGATCCCCAGCACCACAAAAACAAACAAAAACTGCTTTGTAACATGAGTTCAATTATTAAAGGAGAAACGAGAAAAATTTTTAAGGAAAGAACTTGTTCGGAGAAGGCATACAACAGAGTCAACAGACTTTTGTAGTGGGACAGTTGGATAGTATGTCTTGATGTTCTAGGAATCGAGTTCTATATTTAGTACTTGTGAGACATTTTATTCTAAGTTGAAATTGTGATCATTTTGACTTTCAGAATAAAGATATAGACTGACAATTTCCAAATTAGTAGTATTTGGAAGTTTTGCTACTGTGGTTAGTAAATCATTTGTCCATGTTAAATAGCTATACAGAGATGGATCCTGTTATCATTGCTTCTGAAGGAGTGGAGAAATTCAAAAATGAAAATTTTGAAATTATTATTGTTGATACAAGTGGCCGCCACAAACAAGAAGACTCTTTGTTTGAAGAAATGCTTCAAGTTGCTAATGCTATAGTAAGTAGCTTTCCAAAATCATTAAAATGGTGTTCTTAATGATTTTGGTTAATTTAATTATAAAATCTGATTGATTTTATGGTCAATATAAATTACTTTTTGCCTATAAGGCAGATTGTAATTATTTTGTTTGTTTTGTGCACTGTATCTCTGTGTTAGAGACTTAATCTCATCAGTTTGGGCTCCAGAATAAAAAAAATAAATGTGACAAATTAAGAATTAAGCCTTTACAATAAGCATCAAGATATATCATGTATAGGTACAAATTCCCTATGGTGAATGTGATCATTATGCATACGTAAAGTGTACCAATAAACTTAATTTTTATTTATTTATTTTTTTTGTACCGAAGATCGAACTCCGGACTTTGCGTTTGCAAGGCAGGTGAGGCAGGTGGCGGAACCACTGAACTAAATCCCCAGCCTGAAATTTAATTATTATTTTTTTTTTAAAGAATTAAGTCTTGCTGGGCATGTGGCACACACCTATAATCCCAGCACTGGGGAGGGTGAGGCAGGAGGACTGCAGGCCAGCCTGGGCTACACAGTTCAAGGTCAGCCTGAACTACATAGCAAGACCTTGTCTCAAAAGAAAAAAAAAAGTCTTAACATCTGTTGAATTTTCTTTCTGTGAAGTTATTTGAATTCAGTTGGAAGCATAAATGAATTTTGAAAATTTTTCAAAATGAAGCACTTAAAAATACTTAAAAATTACTTAGTGTCTCTTTAAAATTGGTGAAAGTAACATGGGGAGTAGCAGTAGTTTACCATATATTAGGAAGTTATGTTTTGCCATTGAGATATTGGCAGTAATTCTTCGAGTAGTGGCTAGTGCTAATATTCTGTTTTAGTTAGACAATTATTTTGACCATGTTGAACAGATCTAAAGGAAATCACCTCAGCTTGTTTTACTCATTTTAGTGCTACTTTCTTCCAGTTTACTTTGTTCTGATTTGTTTTTGCTATTCCTCTGCCCAGAATGCTGTTCTTTCCTATCTTTGCATAACTCTTTCTTATCCAAACCTCAGGTCAAACATTGCCTCTCTACCTCCAGCAGGCATTTCCTGGACTGTGCTACTTAAAGATGCCTCTCATATCTTATCTGCCAATGTACCATGGGGACAGGGATGTTCTTTCATGTTCCTCTTTGCAGTGCTGGAAGGACAAAGATTTTCTTAGTTATCTGTCCTCAGGACCTATGTATTTAATTCATAGTACTCCCTCAACAAATACTTATTGATTGAATAATTGTATAGTAAATTTTCTATAGCTTCTAATGGTGAAATTTGCTAAAATCAATAAAAATATGTGTCCTTTTCTATTTAAACTTTCTAGCAACCTGATAACATTGTTTATGTGATGGATGCCTCCATCGGGCAGGCTTGTGAAGCCCAAGCTAAGGCTTTTAAAGATAAAGTAGATGTAGCCTCTGTAATAGTGACAAAACTTGATGGTCATGCAAAAGGAGGTGGCGCACTCAGTGCGTAAGTATCATTGATGTTCTTGTCCTATGTCTTGGGGTTATAGGATGTTTGTCTGGTTACGTGTGTGTCTGCTTAAGGGTTTCTTTCCTTTTTTTTCTTTTTTGGTACCGAGGATTGAACTCGGAACCTTGTGCTTTTGAGGCAAGGCAATGGAACCACTGATCTAAATCCCTTGCCCTACTTAGGAGTTTCTTGTTTATTTTTTAAAATATATTTCAGTAGTGGACCTAAGATGGCCTATAGAGGAAGTTTAAATAGAATTTTAAAGTCTCTATCATATAGTTCTGTTTGTAACTAGTGAAAACAAATTTGAGTTTTGTAGTACCTTTGTCTGTTTAGCTTTGAAAATTGGAACTTTTCTTTTTTGAGGTTATGTTATATTTTCTTTTTTTGTACAGAGTTGCTGCCACAAAAAGTCCTATTATTTTCATTGGTACAGGAGAACATATAGATGACTTCGAACCTTTCAAAACACAGCCATTCATCAGCAAACTTCTTGGTATGTACAGTGGTAGGAATATAGAAAAATCTCAGAGATTTTATGGATCTTTGGAACAGTTTAGGATTTTAATCATGTCCTAACTAATTTAAGAAAACCATTTCCTTCTATGGCTTATCTTCCTCACTTGCAAAATAGGGGTGGTATTTATCTGCTTTCTGTAGTATAGTTGTTAAAATGAGATATTAGATGTGAGTTTTTTGGAAAAAAAACTTTGGGCACAATATTAAAAAAGTGGTTGTACTAATAGCGGTGGTAACGATATTGACATTTTTATAATGTCTTTAAGGTATATAGTTAGTGGAGAATTTGGAGCTAAACCCTGGGCTGGAAGCCCTGCTTTGTTTCTTCTTTGCCAGCATTTAATCTCTATAACTTTAGTTTTCTCACCTGTAAAATGTGATAAGAATACCTAGACTATCTGCCTTGCAGTGCTGTTACATATGTGAATGTGTTTTGTATACGGTAAGCTGAGTTTACTATTGTTCACTTTTCCTTTTGGGGTCTTACAGGTATGGGTGACATTGAGGGACTGATCGATAAAGTCAACGAGTTGAAGTTGGATGACAATGAAGCTCTTATAGAGAAGTTGAAACATGGTATATGAGTAGCAAAAAAGCATTTGATCTCTGATGTCTTTCCTTGATTTCTTCCTGATAAAGCTACTATTAATTCATTCAAGTGATAATATGTATTATTAATCACTTCTTCGGATACTTATTGTTTTAGATGATTTCTGTGGAGATCATTTTCTTTCTCAGTCAACTGAACAGTTACAGAATCATTTTTATTTTCTTATAATCAGATAGCCTTAAGGTTAAAATTGAGGCTTTTTTTTGGATTCCTTAAAAGCAGGTGAAAAGTAAGTTAGAACACTTTTAATCTGACACACACATGTAAAGGAAATTTAATTAATTCCTTTTTTTTTTTTTTTTTGGTACCGGGGGTCAAACTCAGGACCTTGTACTTGCGAGGCAGGTGGTGGAACCACTGAGCTAAATCCCTGACCCTTGTAAAGGAATTTTAAAGGATAAAATTAAATGCACACATACTCTTTTTTTCACTCCACAGGGAAGACTACTCCTATAGAGACATATGTCACTTGATTAAGAGCCCAGTTCTTAAGTAGAGCATACCTCAATCTGTATCTTTATTTTTTAGCTATGTAACTTGTTCTAACCACTTAGCCTCAATTACTTCATTGTAAAAAGTAGATAATACTATTTTATATGATTGTGAGGATTACATTACCTGATGTATGTGAAATATCCAGCACATCATAAGCATTCAACATATATTATTATTGACCATTCCAGTTTTTCTCAAAGTGATCTTTTCTCTTAATTCTAGTGACTGAAGGGCTGGGGATTTAGCTCAGTAGTTCCACCACCTGCCTCTCTATAGTGGCTAAATACTGTTCTGCCATTTTGCTCCTTCTTGCTCTTTCTATCCTTGTTTGTTGTTTGTTTTTTGGTACAGGGGATCTAACTCAGGACCTTGCCCTTGCGAGGCAGGTGGCAGAACCACAGCTAAATCCCCAACCCTACTCTTTCTGTCTTGTACTCATGCCTCTTAAGTGTCTCCCCTCCCCTAGCTGGGATCATTCCCGGCCATATTTCTCTGGAGCTTCATATTTGTATGTGTACTTCTTGAATGTTCCATAAAAACCTCAAATTCTACTAAACCCTTCCCATCTAAAACCTCCCACCCCATTGTTATCATCAATAAATGTTAGCATCATTTGTCCTGTTGCCAGTCAGAAACCTGGATGTTGCTATTATTATCTCTTTCTGTCTGCCCACCTCTTTCTGAAGCAGTTAACTAATACTTGATATATCCATTCTATCCCCTTCTTTCCAGCTGCCTATGCTATTCAGTCTTTTAATAGATTTTCCATCTCCTTGTTTTCTTTTCCTTTGATTTATTTTTTATATTGCACCAAAAAGCACCTTTCAGAAATACAAATCTGATCCTGTTGCTGCCCTTATAAAAATGCTTCAAGGCCTGGGAATTTACCTCAGTGGTGTTCTGGTCTGCCTTGAAAGTGCAAGGTCCTAAGTTCGATCCCTGGTACAAAAAAAAAAAAAAAAGGTATAAAAATGCTTCATTGTCTTCCTCTTGTCCTTAAAATGTTTTTAAATGATCCTCCCATCTAGCCCATATCTTGCACGTCATGTCTTAGCACTGTTGTACTTAGCAGTTTACGTGTCAGGCTTGCTGAACTTCTTTCAGTTCCTTAAATGTACAGTTGCTGTCCCAGACCTAGGCCATTGCCTTTACTAGTCCCTCTGTCACCTGCTAGTATGGGCTTTTAGCTGCACATAAGATGAAAATTGTAAGATGGAAATCATACATGGGCCAATTTCAAGGCTAAAGTAAAATTAAAGTTCATCATAGGGAAGAAACGGACAGCAGAGATGGCTGGCTACTCCATTGACAGCTGTCCTACAAAGTTATAGAGCCTAAAGGAAGCATTTTACTTTTATGGGGTCTTAAAGGAATATTGTTAGTTATTCATGAATTTTTAAAAAGGCAGCAGGGATTCTGGCTAGGGTCTCCTCCAGTTTGTTGCTACATTCTGGTTGTTTATCTTAGGGAGTGTTGTGGATTGCTCATTTGATTAAACATTGGCATTCCTTTTTAAAGGAGTGTGGCAGCTCATTTCTTTGTGTAACCTCTGGCTTTCATTCTCCTTCCTGTGACCCAAAAGTACAGCTGCCTATTTGTTTCCTAACAGGCAGCTACTGTAAAGTCTGTTAGTTGTCAGCCTCACCTTTATGCCTAGTAGACACATTCCTCTTTTACCGGCCTCTACTCTCTCCCCTGGCTGTGCTTGCTAACGCATATTCATACTTCAACTCACTCCTTAAATGACCTTTATCAGGAACATTTGATTTGATTTGATAAGTTAGAACCCTCTGATTTGAAATTACAGGTGTGAGACACTATTCTTGAATGCCTTTTCTATTTTTAAACTTCATTTGAGATCTCAGTAGCACAGTACTTACCTAGCATTCACAGACCCTTCAGTATCAGTTCAATCTTCAGTATCAATCAATAAAACATAAATAATACATACATATATGCTTACATAAATACATCATACTTAGATAAATGAAATAAACTTTCTTCACTTGAATTTTGTAGCAGTGGATTGCCTACATTATCATAACTCTGGGCTTCTGTGATCACTGTATAAGAGCCAAATGGATATTTTTAGCTTTAACCTGGTCTTCCTTTTGGACAATATAAGGAATTGTACCTAGGACATTTATAATGTGCTACATCTCCAGCCATTTAAAATTTTTTTATTTTTGGTACGGGGGATTGAATTCAGGACCTTGTGGTTGTGAGGCAGGCATGGTGTTACTGAGCTAAATCCTGGCCGCCTTTTTTGAGACTGAGTCTTGCTAGTTGCTGAATTGCCCAGCCTGGGCTTGAACTTGCGATCTTCCTGCCTCAGGCTCCCATAGAATTGGGCCACTATTCCTAGCTTCTCTTTACTTTTTAATTCTGCATTTCTAGCTGCCTGCTATAATATTTCCTCTAAGTATGCTGCTGTGCTTTGAAATATTGTGCCTCAAATCCTGAATACCTGAATCTATCTTTGTTCTTTGCTTTGTCCTTTTCTCTTTTTTTTAAAATTGAAGTTAATTTACATATAGTGAAATACTCAAATCCTAAAGAAATCATTCCATTTTTTTCAGACACAGTAACAGACACATCCCATTAAGTAATAGAATATTTCCTTTACTCTAGAAAGTTTGCTTGTTTCTCATCCCAATACTACTTCATGTCTTAAAATTTTAGAATATGTCCCTTTTTTCCCAGGCTGTTTTTTGATTCAGCATAATTTATTTGTTTTGAGACAAAGTCTTACTGGGTAGTCCAGAACAGCCTTGAACTTGCTAAGTAGCGCAGTCTGGCTTTGAACTCTGAATCCTCTTGCCTCAGCTTTCTGAGTGCTAGGATTATAAGAGCACACAACCAGGCCCAGCACAAACTTTTTTTTTTTGGAACTGGGGATTGAACTCGGGTCCTTGTGCTTGCAAGGCAGACAGCAGAACCACTGAGCTAAATCCCCAGCCCCTTTTCTGATAAGTCATTCATGTAGTTGCAATATGGCTATTGTTCTTTTTATTTCAGTGTGGTATTTCACTCACTATCCATTTTCCTATTAGGGATGACTAAGCTATTTAAGAAACTTCAAATGGTACTGTGAAATGATTTTACTATTTTATATTTTCACCAGAAATATGTGGGAGTTGTATTTGTTCCATATCCACTTTAACTTTTAGTGTTGTCTAGCTTTGCATTCTAGTCATCCTTGTAGGTATAGTGTGCCTTGTTTTCCAGTGTCCTATTATTTGTATGTATCCATCTTCTCAGATAGGATGTAAGTTGATCTGAGGTAGAATCTTGTGCCTCTAGCTCAGTGGTTCCGCTGCCTGCCTCGAAAGTGCAAGGACCTGAGTTTGGCCACAGTACCTCCCCCAAAAAAGATAAATCCGTACTGTTAGCCAGGTGCAGTGGTGTACGCTAGTAATTCCAGCATTCAGGAGGCTAAGGTAGGAGAATCGCTGTGAGTTCAAGACCAGCCTGGGATACATAGTGAGTTCCAGGTCAGTCTCAATTACATAGTGAGACCCTGTCTCAAAAAAAAAAAAAAAAAAGAATCTGTGCCTCTGTGTTCCTTGCAGTTGTCATCATACACTATCTGTTCAGTGAGTATCTAGTCCTGGGATATTTATAAGTATGCTTCAAGATGAGTCCATGAGAAGGCAAGAGTTAGTTCTGTTGAAAGAAAATGTACATTCTCTAATGTGTCTAAATTATTTATATTGTATTGCAGGTCAATTTACATTGAGAGACATGTATGAACAATTTCAAAATATCATGAAAATGGGCCCCTTCAGTCAGATCTTGGTTAGTTTTCCTTAAAAATTACTTTATACTTTCTTATTTGTTTGTTTTCTGTTAAAATTTCTAAGAACAGATGCACTTACTGTAATTATCTGGGTAAAAATTGATCTTTCAAGAGTTAGTGTCATCAGTAATACCAGTATTAATTGTGTGCATCTGAACAATTAGTCTTCAGCTATTAACGACTTTATGTTTAAATTTGTGTTAGGGAATGATCCCTGGCTTTGGAACAGATTTTATGAGCAAAGGAAATGAACAGGAGTCAATGGCAAGACTAAAGAAATTAATGACCATAATGGATAGTATGAATGACCAAGGTAAGATGGCAGATGACTTGACTCAGGGACAATGTTCTAAATATCAGCAAGTTGAGATTTCACTGTTTTATTGACAAGAAGGGGGAAATTTAGACTTAAGTGATAGTAACTCTTAATTTCATAGTTATAACCCTTTGAGTAAGAAATGTCAAGTTACTCTAAACTAGTGCCTATCTAGGAGACATGGTGGCTTTCAAGTATTTGAAAACCTCATTTTTTTTTTCTCTCATTGAGTTTATTGGTACATTTTAGGTATACAGTACAGTTACATTCATCATTGGGATCTTGTACCTTTACATGATAGGTCTTGGTTCTCATTTTTTCCCCGTATCCCTGCCTTCCCTTCACCCCCTCCTCCCTTCCCTATTTGCAAATACTTTATTTCCATTTTTTCATTTTCTTATTTTTTTTCCTTTTCCCTTATTCCCTTTCCCCTACCATTCCCATTTCCCCTACACCTTTATCCCTTTTCTTCCTATTTCACATTATCAAATATATCATTATGATCTTATGTATCATTATAGTTTTTCACACTAGAGAAACTATTCGGTATTTATACATGTGTGACTTATTTCTTTCACTTAGGAGTATATTCTCAATATGTATCCATTTTCCTATGAATGAGTCTAGTTTCTCATTCTTTATTGGCTGAGTAGTATTCCATTTTATAGAAAAACTACATCTTCTTTATCCCAATTGATGGGCAGATGGGCTGTTTCCAAGATTTAGCTATTACAAACTGTGCCGCTATAAACATAGGTGTGCATATATCACTGTGATATGATTCTTTTAATTCTTTTGGAAAGATACCCAGCAGAGGGATGGCTGGGTCAAATGGAACCTCTAGTCCCAGCTCTTTGAGGTATCTCCATATTTATTTGCATAGTGATTGCACCAGTCTGCACTCCCACCAACAATGGAGAAGGGCTCCTTTCTCCCCACAACCCTGCCAACATTTGTTATTTGTTGATTTCTTGATAGCAGCCATTCTTTGTGGGGTAGGTGAAATCTCAGTGTTGTTTTCATCTGCATCTCTTGAATGACCAGTGATATGGAACATTTTTTCATTTATTTACTTGCTGCTTTTCCTTCTTTTCTGAGAAATGTCTGTTCATTTCAGATGCCCATTTTTTTAATTGGGTCTTTATATTGGGGGGGCTGTTTTTTTGAGTTCTTCATATATTCTAGATACTAGTCCTTTGTCTGAGGAGCAGCTGGTAAAAATTTTTTCCACATTGTGGGTTGATGGTTTCTTTTGCAGTGCAGAAGCTTCTTAATGAGATCCCAGTTGTTGATTCTTTCTGCTAGTTCCTGTGCTACTGAGGATTTGTTCATAAAGTCTTTTTCTATGCCATTGTCTTCAAAAGTTCTGCCTAACTTATCTTCCAGCAAATTTAGTGACTCTTTTTTAAAATTTAGGTCTTTAATCCACTTGGATTTTAGTTTATTGCCTGGTGAAAGATAAGGGTCTAGTTTTAATCTTTGGCAGGTTGAAATCCAGTTTTTTCAACACCATTTATTAAAGAGGCTATCTTGACTCCAGTGAGGATGATTGGCTTCTTTGTCAAAGATGAGGTAGCTGAATACATCTGGAGTTGTTTTTGTGTCTTCCAATCTGTTCTAGTGGTCTGTTTGCCAGTACCATGCTGCTTTTATCACAGTGGCTTTGTTGTATAGTTACAAATTGGGAATTGTTATACCCGCTGCCATGTCTGTGTTGCCTACTATTTTTTTTTAATGACAGGAAGGACATACAAAACAATATAGAATATATGTACAAACCAATATATAAGTGCCACAAACACATTTCAATTTACTTTTCTTTTTGGTACCAGTGATCGAACTCAAGACCTTGAGCTTGCAAGGGAGGCATGGCCCAATTAATAATCACTTGAATAAATTTAAAAAATATATATATATATGTATATATTTTGTACTGGGGATCAAACTCAGGACCTTGCGCTTGCGAGGCAGTTGCAGTCACATTTCAGTTTAGTACATGAAGAGAATTTCTACAATTACAGATACAACAAAACAGTAAAGACTGCCTTATTTACATAGTGGGTCATCTCTCCTGGAGATATTAGACTGGAAGTAGCTAACCACTTATTGGGGAATATTATAAACTAGAAAGAATACAGAGATAATAGAAATTTTGACTACAGTCCATCCTATTCCTGAGATTGTATGTAACTAAAGCCAGAAGAAAAGGTCCACATATTCTTAGTGATCAAATAACTGGAGGGAATTAACTGGTTGGTTTTGTTGTCATTGTGGTTTTGAGACAGTCTTGCTGTGTAGCCCAGGCTGGTATCAAGCTTCCAGTCCTCCTGCCTTTTTTTCCTGAATGTTGGGATTATAGGAAATCACTACCACGTTTAACTTTTTTTGGTGGTGGTGGTACTGTGATTAAATTTAGGGCCTTCCCTTCGGGTTACATCCCTAATCCTTTTTATATATTTTTATTTTGAGACAGTATCTCAAGCTGCTATGTTTCCCTCACTGGGCTTGATCTTGTGATCCTCCTGCCCCAGCTTCCCAGAGTGCTGGGATTATAGGCATATGCCCCCATGCCTAGCTTTTAACTTATTTTTTTAATATGCTACAGAAATGATTAAAATACTACCAGTAATTATTTGATGTTCGGAAATATAATTTTTCTGTTCATTATAGATAAAAGCTTCCTGCTAAATACTTATGTAGCCTAAGTTAAGATTTAAAGATTAATAGTTATCTTAGGATAGAATTAAGGTGAGCAGCTCTGTTCTTTTTTGAAATATATCATGTACCTGTAGTGTGTAAAGGGTACAGAAAGGTTGAATATTTGAGATATGGAAATGGTGGACAAGGGGTTCAAAAATTTTCAGAATGTTCTGCTTAAACTGTAAGTAAGGTACATATGCATTTATTGTATAATTTTTTAGAACTTATAAAATATTCTTTTGAATATATTCCTTGTTTAATATTTTAAAACCAGAAGCAAACATGACAAGTGATAGATAACATTTGTTAAATCTGCATGGTGGTTTGACCATTTGTTACATCTGTTTTTCTGTATGTGAGAAACAGCTGTTTAGCTCTATGAAGTAATATATTGCCCATTTGTGTGTAACTGTTTTAATGGTGAATAATAATTGTGTGTAAGTGAAAGTAACTGATGGTCACCCTCAGAGCTGGACAGTACAGATGGTGCCAAGGTTTTTAGTAAGCAACCAGGAAGAATCCAAAGAGTAGCCCGAGGATCAGGTGTGTCAACAAGAGATGTTCAAGAACTTTTGACGCAATATACCAAGTTTGCACAGATGGTAAAAAAGATGGGAGGTATCAAAGGACTTTTCAAAGGTAAGAAAAGTAAGCTCATCATTAACAAAATAAAAAGAAATTCAGAAACTAAATATAAATATCGAGGAATGCTACCATTACTGGAAAAACACACTTCTGAATTGTATATTATATTCAAATACTGTCAAGACTTAAAATGTGATTTGTAATGTAATTTAACTATTTTCAGATTCAAGATAATATTGAAGAGAAAAGTTACTGTTATGAACATGTAATACATATTGTAGAAAATTTAGAGACTATAAGAAAGTTTAAGCAAACATTAAAATAGAAATTACCTTTACTCTCAGAGAATCCCATGGACCCTATTACAAGTAATGGTTGATATATCTACAGCTTTCTTCTGATATGTCATGTTTACTGTTACATATGGCCAGATTACTGTCAAAATGTAGTATCTAATCGCCACTGCCAGTGTCCCAGTTTTGTGCGTGCCTCTGTTCCGTGTGATGCCTCTTGTTGGATATTTGAGTGATTCATCTGTTTCTGTGTCCATTTCAGTTTCTGGGCAGGTCTATACAGCCAGTGATTTTTGTCTGTTTTGATCAGGAATAGTAGATGCTGACTAAATTTTCTACTTTTAAGTTAACGGTCAAATTTTTTTTTCAATATGCATTTTTTTATGTTACTACATAACCTTCACATTTGTACACTTACTGTTTTGAGTTTCCTATATGAATCACTTCCTCAGTGTGCTTGTCCAGTCGCTCTTTTTTCCTTATTGCTATATAACAATTTTGAAGTCCTTGGTTTACGCCTGCAAGTATTTTTTTTAATTTTTTTATTTGCCTTTTACTTATATTTCTGTTGTCCGATGAACAGAAATTTCAGTTTAGAGTTGGAGGTATAGGTCTAGAAGCATGCCTGCTGGGCATGTATCAGTACATGGGTTCCGTTCCCAGCACTGTACCACCCCAAATTGCTATTTTAATGTAGCCAAGCCAATTATCTTCTCTCCTGGTTTCTGTTGTGCTCATGATACCACAGTAGTAACCTAGATTTTCTTGTACTTGTTTTTGGTTTTGTTTATTTTGTGGTGTTGAGAGCCAGTCCAAGTACTTGGGCCATGGTAGGCAAGTGCTTCATTGCTAAGCTGTATTCTCAGCAGAGTTTTATTTTTTTGTTTGACTTTTTAAAAAATCCTGCTGGAATTTATTTTGCTGTGTATTATATAAGATAAAAAGGGAAATTTGTTTTTTTAGAGTTTATTAGCTATTTCCTTATTTTCTGAATGAATTTGTTACTTTTAAAAATACTGATTTTTAGGCAAGCTCCAAAAATAGCTTCTAAAAAGAATGAGTATTTGCAGATATTTTAAATTGTTTTTGTTTCTGACAGTTTCCTTATTTTTCTTGCTTGCTGTTCCTTGTTTCTTTTGTGACAAGAGAGGGCAGCTAGAAAAATGTTTAAAATTTTGTAATTCCCAACATTTCATGCTATTTCATATAGTGATTAATAAACACCCTATGTCAGCTTAATAGTTTTCTCAGTTGACCTTGACAATTCTTGATAGAACTATTGTAGATCCTCCAGAGGTTATCTAAACATTGATTTCTCCCTATAGGCCCAACCAAGATGAAAGGGGAGGTGAATGTACACCCACCTTCATCACATCAAGTCCTAAATTCTTAGAACAAGATCACCAACAGAGAGGGATTCACACCTTCTACTTTTTTTTTTGTTTTGTTTTGTTTTTTGAGACAGAGTCTCACTATGTAGTTGAGACTGACCTGGAACTCACTATGTAGCCCAGGCTGGTCTCGAACTCATAGTGACCCTCCTGCCTCAGCTTCCCAAGTGCTGGGATTACAGGCATGCACCACCACACTCGGTCCTTCTACATTATTAATCATAAATTTTTCATAGACTTTTACATGCTTTATGAAATCACGTCTTCTCTGATATTCATAGTCATGATTTACATAATTTATACAGATTAGCCATCTGTGATTTAGAGAATTGGGCAGCTTTGGGTTTTCATTTTTATTAAATGCCCTTAAGAAGTACCATAATGTTCCTTTGGAATAAATTTTTTTGCTGAAGCAATTCTGCTTATTCATTGTTGTTACATTGATGATATTTTTTGCTTCCTGTCTCTTAAGAATATAGCTGTTCTCCAAAAGATGCTTTTACCTGTTCTGTCTCTGAGTCCCTTTTTTTCCATTGGCTGCCTTTGTTTTGAGACAAGGTCTTACTGTTTAAGCCTCAGCTGGCCTGGAACTCATGCTAATCCTCCCAAGTGCTGGAATTGCAGCCATGTGCCGCCATCCCTCATGCCTTTTTTTTTTACTGTTGAATTTTGACTAAGTCTATGGGTATGGCTTGGCAAAGTAAACTAGATTATTTGTCATTCTATTCCTTAAGATTTTTTTTTTTTTTTTTTGTACCAGGGATCAAACTTGGGTCCTTGTGAGGTTCCTTAAACTTTTATTATTTTAAAAACACATATAAGGGCCAAGGATTTAGCTCAGTGGCGCCACGCCTGCCTTGCAAGCACAAGGTGCTGAATTTGATCCCTGGTACCAAAAACCAAAAAACAGTGCCCTAAAAACACATATGTGTACTTTCTCTCAGAGTCATTCCTCATGTTCATTTACCAACCAGCTGGTGTCTCCCAGTTAACCCCAATCTATAAACTCAACTTTTGTTCAGACCCCCTCATACCATTATTAAGCAGTTGTTATTGTAGCTTCATGTTGATAACCACTCTCTACAGTTTTGATTGTAGTGGCTCATTCAAAAGTGTAACTAAGAGTATTAGGAAAACATCATAGGTTTAGGAAAATCCTTTAACTGTTTCTAGAATTTCACTTGTTCTTTCTCAAAAAAGGTATGTAATTGGGATAAAGATACATAGCAACTGTGTAGAAATATGAATAATTGTGTTAGAGTGATGCGATTATAGGCAAAAATCTTTGTCTTTACTCAGTTTATCGAACCCTCTAATACTCTGATACTCCAGTTCAGTTACATACATTTCATAACTCTTTGTTTTGTTCAGGTGGTGACATGTCTAAGAATGTGAGCCAGTCACAGATGGCAAAATTGAATCAACAGATGGCCAAAATGATGGATCCAAGAGTTCTTCATCACATGGGTAAATACAGAGTTGCTTGCCAGTTGCTAACATACAATTTAACTGATAAAGATTGAGTTTTAGTGATTGTCAGGTATTTCAGGTATCTTCTGAAAATCTTTTCAGAAGATACATAATTTGAGGGAAATGACCACCTGATCCTAAGTTGAATAATTAATAGCACTAGATGAATTGAAGTTTTATTTACTCTTCTATTGCTATCTGTGTGATTTTTGAGCAAGATATTTATTCATCTGTTAACACTTTTATCATATTTTGATACTGGATATGTGCAGTGACTTTGAAATTATATAGGGAAGTTGAACCCAAATTCCACTTTTATTGATGTAACTTTGAAAAATCCCTTAAACTTTTGGAACATCACTTTCCCCTTTTGAGAAATCACAAATAACATCTCATCGTAAATCATGACAATGAAATGAGCTAATATACATGAAAGCATACTATGCTGAGCATATAGTAGATGTTTAATAAATCATAACTTTTTATGTATCTTAATTTTGTTTACAAGAAGACTCTCAGTCTTGCCAGAAAAACTTGTTTTTTTTTCCTTGGTGCCAGGGATTAAACTAAGGACCTTGGGCTTGCCAGACTGGTGTGGTGCCACTGAGCTAAATCTCGAGCCCCAGAAAATGTTTTTTATTTAGATGTATTGACTGACAGGTGCTATTCTAAGATCTTTTCATATTTTCTCTAAATAACCTGATGCAGTAGGTTATTCATTCTTTTTCTTTTTTTTATTTTTTATTTTTGGTATGGGGATCAAACTCAAGCCCTTGCGCTTACAAGGCAGGTGGTGGAACCTCTGAGCCAAATAAATCTCTGGCCTCATTCTTTTTTTATACATGAGGATACTGATAATAACATAGACTTTTAAGCTGGATGTGGTAGCACATGCCTGTAATCCCATCATTTGGGAGGCTGAGGCAGAGGCAGGAGGATCACTTCAAATTTGAGGCTAGTCTGGGTTACATAGTGAGTTCAAGGCCGTCCTGAACTACACAGTGAGACCCTGTCTTAAAAAAAAAAAAAAATCAACAACACAAAACACCCCTACAAATTTTTACTTGTTAAGTTCTTTAGGGCTAATGACTAACTTGCAGTCAGAACACAGTGTCTTTTAGAAGCTGAATACATGGTAGGTAAAAGTAACAGATCTTTCAAGTTCTGCTCAATAATTACTTGTCTGTCTTTGCTTTTACTCTAGGTGGTATGGCAGGACTTCAGTCAATGATGAGGCAGTTTCAACAGGGTGCTGCTGGTAATATGAAAGGCATGATGGGATTCAATAACATGTAAAGACAATGCCTTAATATAAACTGACGTGGTTGGTTACATTATTTGCTGAGACCTCAGAGAATTTTCTTCCTTTTTGCAAATGAGGAAAAAAGTATTTTTCTTGCCTGTCTTGACTTTTTTTCCCCTTTCCCTTTGTTTTCCCTTTCTTCCTTCTCTTCCTCTTGCTAAAAGGAAGAAAAATCGTTTTTTGTGGAAATCATTCTACTTTTGTTTTAAATTTTTCTCTATTAGTTTTCACCATTGAAATATTTCTTGAATTAAACAGTTCATGATGTAAAATTTTAGTACTTAAAGGTATTTTTAATTGTTTCAAAGGCCAAGCATTATATTTGTAAACAGTCCTGGTCAGTAAATTACATGATGTATCAATAAAAGTGCTGTAAAATAAACTTCAAAGTGGTTATAAGTTAAGGGATTGTTAACTTTCTTTATATTTTAAAATGATCAGTGAATCAACACAGAAAAAAGAGGAACCAATAGGTATGTGCCATGTAATTATGCCTCGAAGCTGAGTATGGTAGTCGAGCCTGTAATTCCAGCACTGGGAGGCTGAGGTAGGAGGATCACAAGTTCAAGCCTAGCTTGGGCAATTGTGACAAAATAAGACTTTGTCTAAATAAATAACTGGAGATATAGCTTAGTGCAAAGACCTTGAGTTCAGTCCCCAGCACTGTAAAAACAGACAGATACACAAAAACAATACCTGGAAATACATCTTTTTTTTTGGTACCAGGGACTGAACTCGGGTCCTTGCGCTTGCAAGGCAGGCCATCAAACCGCTGAGCTAAATCCCCGGCCCTGGAAATACATCTTTAATGGAAAGTATGGTAGAAGAATTTAATCAAGAGTATTAGGAATGTTTATTTATCTTAGAATACTTAATTTTCCTATAGAAAATCTTAGCTCTGTCATTTAAATTAAAGTCAAGAATTTGGTAAGTTTATAATGCACGATGATTTTGTATACAGCCTGGATTTTTAACCTCTTTTGAAACCGTAATGACTATTTTTTTAAAGTTGTTTCTTATATACTAAAAACCTACTAGAAGAAATTGATAGGGAAGGGTGAAGGGAGGGCAGGGGTATGGGGGGTAAAAAAGAACCAAGATATATCATGAAAAGGTACAAGATCTCAATGATAAATGTAACTGTATTGTTTGCTTTAAATGTGCCAATAAACTTAATGGAAAAAAAATTTTTTCTACTCTTAAAAAAAAATTGATATATTCTGATAATTGCTAATGTATGGACTTCCTATTGTGACAGTAAAGGGAAATAATCAGGCCATTACTATAACATATTAACAGTAAATTGGGCATGGTGGCACATGTCTGCACTATGGGAGGCTGAGACCTGAGGATCACAAGTTCAAGGCCAGCCTGGGCAGTGGTGACTTAGCAAGACCTAGACTCATAATAAAATAGAATAAAAAGGCTGGGAAGTAGCTCAGTTAAAGGCTGGGTTCAAACCCAAGTGTTGCCACAAAAGAGCCTGCAACAAGTTTAATTTGGTTATTGATTACCTTGGATTGCTGCACAGTTCATTTAAATGTTTTTAAGGGGAAGAGCTCACTAAGTTGCCTAAGCTGGCCCACAACTCCCAAGCTTAAGTGACTCTTTTACCTTATCCTACTGAGTACTTGGGCTTACAGGTACACACCACTGTGCTAGTCTAGAATTATGCCTTTTTTTAAATGATGGGATTAATTGAAAATACTAGAATGATTACTATGTCTATGACATGAAGATAATAGTTGCTGTGTTAAAAATGTATTTTGACCTAGGATGAACTGATTGCTACGAAAGATTGATTTACAGGAAGAAAAAGAGCTTTTTTTCTCTTCTTGTGGGTTCTGGGGATTAAACCCATGGCCTTCGCACTGAGCTACATCCCCATCCCTTTTTATAATTTTTGGAGACAGAGTTTTGTTAAGTTACTAAATTTCCCAGGTTTGGCTTGAGCATGCAACCCTTCTCCTTCAGTCACCAGGCTTCTGTGATTACTGGCATGTACCACCATGCCCAACTTGTACTGAGTTTCTATGATCCAGGTGTCTTAAAAAGGTCTTATACGCCAAAGTATCTTTTAAAAAAATTACATACAAATGATTTTCTTGTTTACTTGGGCAAAGATTTTATATTCCACAATTTTTTTTTTTTTGGCCAGCTAAAGACTAAAGTATCCCTACAGAATGTTGCATTGAGGTAAAAATTACATATTTTGTATTCTGTGGAAATGTCATAGCAAGATCTAGCTACTGAAATTTGACAATACAGAAATTATTGTCCTCCGTCTTACTTCCTAATGAAACTGATGCATACTACCTTTTCTGATTTGTTCATTTTTGTGATTTCTGTTCTTGGAGTTTCAATTTTGAATTTTGACCAGAAAGAGAAATTAGAGCCTTCTGACCATAATGACCTAAATGACTTCAGCATAGATATTTCTCTCTTTCTTTTTTTTTGGTATTGAGAATTGAACTCAGGGCCTTGTGCTTGCCAGGTGGCTCTGTGCCACTGAGCTACATCCCTGGCCCTCATCATAGATATTAATATTTTTATGTCTAATGCAAATTTATTTTTAAGAAGCATTGGCAAAGGACACCTAAAGGTCTAGGATACCTAGTTCAGCTTCCATTTCTCTTTCCTTTTCTGTTAATTTGGACAAGTTTCCCTTTATTTTTCATTATTTCAAAATTGCTTTTTGGCTTTTTTAAAAATCTGATACCATCCTCATTTAGGCCACTAGCTAGTTGTAATATTGTGCAATACTGAATTCTTTTATTATATTACCTGACTGTATGCAAACATAAACCTAAGTATAGCTTCCTTAAATTTACTGTGCTTATATGATGATAAGATAAAAACAGTTAGAAATTAAATAGTAACAAATTATGAAACCAAGAAAGGGAAGATTGACAATTTAAATGTGATGTGAATGTTTTCCTGAAAACATCTATAAAAGTGTTTTTTGCAATTTTATGGAGAAAATTTTTGTAAAAAATTAAGTACTTTTTATCATGTGTTAAGTGTGTCACATAAACCATTATTCCATTCAAGTGAATATGCGATAATGTGAGATAAAGTCCTAGATTCTGATATGCAATAAAATTGTACTAACCTTGAATAGAATTATAGTGTCACATAACTCAAAAGAAATGGTTCAAGGAATATTGATAGATGACAGTAAAACCAGTAAATTTATTGGGATTAAAATTCTACATTATGTATTTTAATGTAAAAGTAAAATAATAGTACTGTATTAATACCTTTTTAGCATATTTAAGAAATTTTAAAAGTAGACCACAATATAAATAAATTCAAATTAATTTTTAAATAGCGCTAGTGCATACAAAACATTTCATTAAAAGACGCAACAAGCCAGGTGTGGTGGCGCACGCCTGTAATCCCAGCACTCAGGAGGCTGAGGCAGGAGGATTGCTGTGAGTTCGAGACCAGCCTGGACTACATAGTGAGTTCCAGGTCAGTCTCAACTACATAGTGAGACCCTGTCTCAACCCCCCCAACAAAAAAGACGCATCAAAGCATTTAAAGTAAAAATGTGAAAGAGTTTAACTTGATATTTATATGGTGAAAGGAAGTATTTTACTATTTGAATACAAAAGCAGCCAGTAATTTGAATGAGCTCTAATAAAAACTATATAGCAGAAATGATGGTTAAATAACAGCTAAGTGTAGGTAG